AATTTTATTTGAATATTAAGCAACACATTATTGTTTTTCTTACTTAGGAATATCGCGGCTCGCATTTTCAAGCATTGTCCCCTATTTCTGTTCCATATGAGGTTTGATTTCTACACTAGCTTCAGTTGGGATTTTGTTCTGCTTAAACCCCCTTTTTTAAATTTTATTGTTAATATATTGATTTCCCTTGCTCCCTTTGATTTTTTTTAAATCATTTCCCTCCTTCTCTTTTCCTCTATGCTGACACAAATCCTCTTACTCTGTTCTTTTCCCTCTATTTCTCCTGGGAGGGGAGACATATATGGGAAAACTCACCCCTCTTTTCTCCTCTTCCAACCGGTGTCTCTCCCTGATCGAATTCTGGGTCGCTATCCCCACCGTGTCGCATGTTGTCTGTTCCTTTGGAAGAGGGGGATCTTCCCAGCGGTGATTCAGGGTGGCTTGAACATTTTCCTTCTTCTTTCCATAAGTGTGACTTTAGGGGAATTTGATTTATTTAATATATTCCACCTCTCCTTCCTCAATCTGTTACTGATGGAACTTTAAGCCTTTAAAAAGAATTATTCAAGCTGTGAATTTATTGGAATGCAGGTGCTTGATGGCGGAGGTTGGCTGCCCTGCTTAGATTATCTGGTTTCACTTACAGGGATGGAAAGAAACGGATTTATTAAGTTTAAATATTATTATTAATACTTAATAAGTCCAGGCTTAGGCATGAAAACTGGCTGGGAAACTTTAGCCTGGTCTAAAGTTAGCTTAACTATCTTAAGTTGTTTATAAAAATAATAAAGGTTGGATAAAACACATCTACAAAAAGAGCAAAGACATGACAAATTTGTCCCAATTGCAAGGATTCACACCAGCATATCACAAACCTGGCAATTTAAGATCTGTGGACTTCAACTCCCAGGAATCCCCAGCCAGATATTGGTTGGGGGATTCTGGGAGTTGAAGTTCACAAAACTTTTCCAAGGCTGAGAAATCATAAATTTAACTGAATAGAATAAAGCGTGCCCTGCGGTCTTTCTCTCCAACAGCTCATGTCTTCTATTGTTTAATTACAGCCAATCCTCGGAAGATCCTTTGGGGGGGGGGGTGCGGATGGAGCTGGGAATCCAATTTCGCAAAAAAAAAAAAGTGGATTTTAAAATTTGGTTCCTGGGTGGGGCAAATGCATAACGAATACAGCCAGAAACTTTTCTGCTTGGGTTTTTATTTTGATCTCAACCCTCCGGATAGAAAAAACGTTCAAAATCTCAACCCGCGGATCTCTTTGCAAAATCTCTCCGAGGCAAAAGAGCGCGCGGGAGGCGGGCCGGGCTGCTTTCTCATGATTGGCTGTGACGCGCCGCGGTAGAATCCTCCGGGACGGTCAGGCGAGCGCGCTGATTGGCTGCGGCGCGGGCCAGAAAGTGCTGAACGTTCCATCCCCCGAGCGCGCGGGACCTCGTGGATTTAAGCCCGGAGTTTGCAGGGAGGAGTCTCTTTTTCGCGGGGGCGTCCGCCGTTTCACCGAGGATCCCGGTAAGTATTACGGTTTGGAGGTGGGGGGTTGGGAAAGGAGCCTTGTCCTTCTCTGCATAACAGGCGGGAATTCAACGGGTCACTCCCGCTTTCTCTCCCCTGGCTGCCTCCTCCCTGGCTTTTGCAGCCCGTTGCAAAACGAGAGTCCAGCAGCCCTGCCAGGCTGCCATCCCCACCTCGGGCCGCTTGCAGATCGTCGGTAGCTTTAGGACGCTGCCTCTGGGTCAGCCCGTTTTTCTCCTGCCGGGGAAACAGATCTTAGAACGTTATTACAATATATTCGCGGTCTAATATAGGGTAAATCTCTGGTCTCCGGGACCGGCCCAGATTAGATTTCATGATAGAATCATGGTCCTGGGACCCGTGTATTTGCCTTCATTCGTGAGCATGCAATCTGCCTGCTGTGTGCAGACGAGCAGTTTACAGGAGTGTAGCAGGGATTCTAAAAACTTCCTTGGCAAGGGGACAGTGACAGAAGCGGTTCTACAAAAGGTGATTAAATAACTGAACAAGGTGGGAAGAGTGGTGAAAGAGAGGAATCCGTAAAGCTGCTGATTATAATGTCAATTTTCAGCATTGCAAACATTAGAAGCTGTGCACCAAGTTCATATTCGCTCCTGAGATGCCAGGCAGGCCTTGAGCCAATAAAAGAGTAGGGTGTGAACTCTGGGAGCTTACAAGCATTTGCCCAGAAAGTTGTGCGCAACCGGACAGTTTGGTGTTCTTCAAATCTGATGGGGTTCCTGCCGCCCGTGGCTTGTCAACAGGAAAGATAGGCAGAATCCCAACACTAGACAACAGGAGACTTTTGTTCCCCTGGGAAAGTTAATGTATAACTTGGAGTGGCCCAGGCAGAGACTGCGGGAGGGAGGGAGGGGCTGGGGTCAGCTGATGGGAAGCTGCTGGGCTTGTCCTGGAGCGCGTTGCTTAGGACAGGGGTGTCTAGTCTTGGTAACTTTAAGACTTGTGGACTTTAATGCTCAGAATTCTGGGAGTTGAAGTCCATAAGTCTTAAAAGTGGCCAAAGTTGGACACTGCTGCCTTAGGGACTCCTGCTGCCACCCCCCTTGGAAGGCACCCCCAGAACGCTTCTTCTGCAGCCGTCAGTTGGGCCGCTGTCCAGCAAGAGCCGGATTAGCTGCTTCCTTCCCTTTTCATCCCACCCCGCTTTCCATGCCTCATTCACACAACATGCTAAAGAGAGGGTTGCTTAAGAGCACTGGGCACCGCACAAACACAGGGATGAATTCATGCAATCCCCAGAACTGTTTTTTCTCTACCTTAGCAACTTAAAGATGGGTGGACTTCGGTTCCTGGCACATGGGAATTCTGGGAGTTGAAGTCCACCCATCTTAAAGTTGGCCAGGGTGTGAAGACCTGGGCTAGCCGAAATCTAACAGTTTACAAAACATCCAGATTCGGACAAGGCAGGAAGCATGGGAATCTGGATACTGGATAGGGAACCAAGCCACAACATCACAACATGGGCTGCAGAACGGCCGCCTCCCCCCTTCCTGGATGTTTAGAATCATTCATTCATTCATCGCATTTACGCACCTCCCGTCTCACTACTGAAATAACTCCTTTGGTTTGCATTGATTCCCATCTTATAACTCTCCTTTGAAGAGCCACACACACACCCCCACACACACACACCTTAAATCACTGCCTAAATGCAAGGTGGAGACACTCCTTTTTGAGGGTGGTAACGGAATACTGATTTTGTTCTGTGTTGCAAAATACTTTGCGAGGTGCAGCACTGGTGTTGTTGTTTTTGACAAAATCAAGTCTTTGCAGGTTCCTAGTACTTCCAGCTGCCATGGCCAGCACCAATGCCGGCGGAGACCAGGTCACCAGGGACCTCTGGGTCTCTCACAACAAGATGGTGATGGAAGCCCTGGACACCAATGATCCCGAGGTAGGCCGCTCATCCGTTCCCTTCTGCTTCCTTGACTGGTGACCTCAACTGGGGGGGGGGGCTGTATTGATCCGGGTGGGCAGAGGCCACTGACCGGCAGCGTGACGTTCATTTGGGAGTTTTTAAGCTGGGTCAGCTCTTGCAGGTTGACACACCGCTGAACCTTGCATAGGGAACGAGAGCAGCGAGTACAACGTGTTCCAAAGTTGGGTTTGTTGCAATCAATGGCTTGCGTTCCTCTTGAGTAAACAGCCTGGGTGAGCTGCAGTGTCGCTGCTGGTGCAGCTTACGTGGGAAACGGCAGGGAACGCCTCCATCTTCCCCTCTGGCTATCCAGGAAGAACGTAATAGGAAGATTGCCGTGATTGACTCACTCGGGGCATTTTAAACCTGCACTTCAGAAAACTTTCACGAGGGACGTTTATTTACTGTGATGCTACAAAGAGAGCATGCCAACTGATCAAGCCAGATAGTCAAGGCAGCCCCCAATGCAAAGCAAGATATATATTAATTATTTAGGAAAATTAGAAACTTCACATTTAACTATGCGAAGCACCTGATTCTCTCAAGATGAGCTACTATAATACTATCTATTCTATCCTTTACCCTTTCCCGGAGACCTGAGCACGCCACGCCTTCTCACCTGCAGCCCCAGGCAGACGCCCCTCTCAATCCTGTTCCAGCAAGCCCCCCTTTTTTTCTGCCCTCCCCAGGTCTATGATATTATCAAGAAAGAGAAGCGGCGACAGAGACTCGGGCTGGAGCTGATCGCATCCGAAAACTTTGCCAGCCGAGCCGTTCTGGAGGCGTTGGGCTCCTGCCTGAACAACAAATACTCAGAGGGATATCCGGGGCAAAGGTGGGGCTGGGAAGGAAGGGTGGTGGGTCTGGAGTTGAAGGAGACCCTTGGACCAGATGAGGCCTGTAAAGGGGATGCTAGGAGCAACCTATTGTTCCCCTCCCCCACTCAGGTTATTGATACGGTCCTTGACTTAAAACGGGGCCCTTGGTGGGGGTCAGAATCGGATACGTTAATGGGTAAAAGGATAATCAGATCTACAGTTTTCTAGCTCTTCCCAGGGATGTTTTCTGAAACGTGGTTTGCAAGTGGCTGTGCAGCCTTTTCTCTCTGGTGGGGTGGTTTCGCTCCCCTGGCTGTTTAAGGGTCCTCAGAGATTTCTCCCCGTAAACCTACACATTCCAAAGGTATATTTAAACCTGTGCAGACTTCAACGCCCAGAGTTCCCCAGCCAACGGTGGCTAAGGCTTCCATCTGTTTCTTTTTCTTAGATATTATGGTGGGACAGAATTTGTCGATGAGTTGGAAAGACTTTGCCAGAAGAGAGCCCTGGAGGCCTATGGGCTAGACCCACAGAAGTGGGGGGTCAACGTCCAGCCCTATTCAGGTATTTTGCAAGCTCTTCTGGAACGGACTGCATCGGGCCTGTCGGGGGCAGTCCATACGGGCACAAGAGGGCTGTTTTCACCAAACCGACCAGAGTTTGAACACGACTCAACGTGGCTCTTCTTGGTGTCCTTTTGTTTCAGGGTCCCCCGCAAACTTCGCTGTGTACACCGCCCTGGTTGAGCCCCACGGGAGGATCATGGGCCTGGATCTGCCGGACGGGGGTCACCTCACCCACGGCTTCATGACCGACAAGAAAAAAATCTCCGCCACGTCCATCTTCTTCGAGTCCATGCCCTACAAGGTGACTTCCATGCCCCAAGAGGGAGGGAGAGAGACACCTTCCCTTGGGAAATTGGCTCAGGGTTTGTGTAAAATTCAGGATTGCACTCCTCCCCGGGTGAAAAGAATTGGGGGAGGGGGACCCTCAGCCCGTTTGCTACGAGCCTTTCCTGGCTTGTCATGCGCCCCCTTCCCCTCCCTTTGAAAGCACCCTCTCCACTTCTTCATTTGGCTTCAGGTCAACGCCGAAACGGGCTACATTGACTACGACCGACTGGAGGAGAATGCCCGCCTCTTTCATCCAAAGCTGATCATTGCAGGTGAGGCTCCTTCTCTTCCGCTCCCCGGGGTTACTCAGAGGTCATCTGCTTGGGCCTGGCCACCCTTCCCCTGGCTGTGCTTCCCTGGTCTTACGAGCGCAACTTCAGAAAAGTCCGGGAACCAAAACGACAGGAGTACATTCGACGTCCCGAATTGTGAAGATATCAACTCGAGGAGGAGGAGAGGCGGCTTCCCTTCCCTTTCCAGGCCGAGGGCCTTCCACGTCAGGAGCAGCTCCATCCCAGAAGCAAGTCCAGGGCCCCACTGGCGCCTCCTCCTTCCCTGGAGCCCTTTGGAGTAGCCCTCGCCCTCTCTCTCCCCCACCCTAGGGGTCAGCTGCTACTCCCGGAATTTGGACTACGCCCGGATGAGGAAGATCGCGGACGAGAACGGCGCCTACCTCATGGCCGACATGGCCCACATCAGCGGCTTGGTGGCCGCCGGCGTGGTGCCTTCCCCTTTCCAGCACTGTGACGTGGTTTCCACCACCACCCACAAAACCTTGCGGGGCTGCCGGGCGGGCATGATCTTCTACCGGAAAGGTGAGTGCTGCAGCGAGCAGGTGACCTGGTGCTCCGTCTTCCTGGGCTGAAACCCCTGGAGCCAAAGGTGAGGCACCTTCCAAGCGCCCTTCTTCCCTTCTCTCCAGGCGTCCGCAGCATAGACCCCAAGACGGGGAAGGAGGTCCTATACAACCTGGAAAGTCTCATCAACCAGGCCGTCTTCCCTGGTCTCCAGGGAGGCCCTCACAATCACGCCATCGCAGGTGAGCAGCCCTTGAGCAAAAGACCATCACAGCCTGGGAACTGGGAGGAGGAGGAGGAAGGAGGAAAACTGGCCAAGGTATTCCTGCCGGCTTCCTTCGAGCTCACGCCAAGAAAAACGTCCGGAGAAAACGGGTTGCATTCCCAGCGCAGGAGGTCTTGCAAAGTCTGCTCTTTCCAACCCCTCAGTCTGGCCTGGCCTGTGTCCCGTCCCCCCCCCCGGGGCATTACTATACAGAGGCACCACTTAATCCATCTTCCACTCTTTGTGGGGGGGGGGGTCGGGACAGGAATTGCTGTGGCTTTGAAACAAGCCATGACTCCCGAATTCAAGACGTACCAGCAGCAGGTGGTGGCCAACTGCAAGGCTTTGTCTGCCGCGCTCACCAGCTTGGGATATCATGTCGTCACCGGTAAGAAAATGCGATCCTCTCCGGGACAATTTCCACACCTTGCCGGGTTTACTTCCGAGTAAATGTCTGGCAGGATTGTGTTGTGTGGCAGCCGTGGGTGTAGTTCTCCTCTGGTGCCTCCTCTGGAGCAGGCAGGATGGTGCTCTGTGACTCCCTTCAGCAGCTGCTCTTTTGGGGGTCTCTCCTTGCAGGGGGCTCCGATAACCACCTGATCCTGGTCGATCTGCGCAACCAGGGCACGGATGGGGGGCGAGCTGAACGGGTCCTGGAGCTCTGCTCCATCGCCTGCAACAAGAACACCTGTCCAGGTGAGGGAGGCTCGGCCAGAAGGGACATGCCTCGGCCCCAGCGGTTTTGCTGGCACGGGGTCTACAAGGACGGTGGCCGTTGGCTGGTGTCACCACTTGGACCTTCTTAAGCAGGGGAAACAACGCAGTGGCCAAACTGGCCCCAAGCCTTGTGGCCAAGGGACCTCGATTCTGGCAATGCCCCATCCTTTGGGGGCCACGTTGGCTGGGAGATGGGAACTGGGAGAGACCAAAACCGCTGGGTTAGCCAAGGCCTTGCCTCCCCCAGGCTAACAGTCCCAAGCGGGCTTGGACACACAGCCGCACTTGTAGTGAAGTCGGTGCAACGTAGGCCTTTGAGACGGAACAGCAGTCCCGGAGCACAGCTGCTTGCAGGGAGGACCAGCTTGCTTTTCCTGCAATTTAATCCCCGTTTTCCCCTCCCCTCCTTGTAGGAGACAAAAGCGCTTTGCGTCCCAGTGGGCTGAGATTGGGGACTCCGGCTCTCACCTCCAGAGGACTCCTGGAAGACGACTTCAAGAAAGTCGCTCACTTCATTCACAAAGGTGGGGGGTGGTCATTATACCTGCTTTGCCTGCTGGTGTGAATCCTGGGAAGATGAGGAGGGGGTGGGGTGGGATAGTGAAGGAAGTTTTAAGGAAGAATTCTCCAACCTTGGCAACTTTTAAGACTTGTGGACTTCAAATCCCAGCATGCATTGGGTGGGGAATTCTGGGAGTTGAAGTCCACAAGTCTTAAAAGTTGCCAAGTTTGGAGAGCCCAATTTTAAGGGAACTGGCTGAAAACTTGGGAGGGGAGGGAAGATCTGCAAAGTGGCAGAGCAAGCGTTGGCCAAGGGCAAAGGCTTCAAGCAGGAAAAACACCCCCAAAGAAAGGTGTTCTTAAACCTAGAATGGGCTCCTTTGAGAAATGGGGGGGGGGGGGGGGCTCCCTTTCTCTGGAATAGTAGAGGCAAAGTCCAGCCAGCTGGACCCCTTGATTCTTGCATCCCAGAGATTTCATTCCGAAGGGCTGGATTGGGCAACCTTCCCAATTGAGCCTGTTGTTCAGTCTTGTTTCAGTGAAGTGCTTCAGCTCAGGCAGGTGTCTCTCTTCCCCCGTACAGGTATAGAGCTCACCTTGCAGGTCCAGAGCGACATGAACCCCAAAGCCACCCTGAAGGAGTTCAAGGAGAAGTTGGTGACGGAGCCGAAGTACCGAGGGCTGCTGAGGTCCCTCGAGCAGGAGGTGGAGGCCTTCGCCGATTCCTTCCCGCTTCCCGGCTTGCCTGTGTTGTAAAGGAGCCACACCTGGAAGGGCAGCCCCCCCCCCCCAGCTGCCCTCTTGCGAGGGCAGCAGCCCCCCCAGTACCGTTTCCCTTGGCTTGGCCTCTGCCTTTTTAATCAGCTTTTTAAGCAAATTCTGTTCCTCCCCCTTTTTAAAAAGAAAAATGCACCATGGCTGGCAAGGAAATGGAACAAGGGCAAATTTTAGCACCCACCCTCTCTGGAACAGAAATTAATGACAGGCCAGTGTCTCACACACACGCACACACACACACACACACAGGCAGCATTGCCTTCCTTTCTTGTGGAGTGAAATCCCAGGTCAATGAATATGAGGTTCACCCTTAGGGTTAATAATCCAACTTACTGAGCTGCATTTTTATGGGGTTTGGCATCTGGGGCAGTGAGGCTGTTTTGAGGGATGGCTCCACTTTTAGTCTCAACGGTTCTTTGGAAAGTAATTCTGCAAGACTCCTTGAAAATGTGTAAATGAAGACTCAACCATCCAGGCCAAAAGTATCTTTAAAAGGTTAAATCCTGGCAACTGGACCAAAGTGGATTGAGGTGTTTTGTTACTCGTCCAAGGGATTTCTTAAGAGACTCCCTGCAGTCTAAACGGCAAGAGTTGGGTTCTTCCAATGACTCTGCCTACACAACATTTTCATTCTGATTGAAAGAAGTCGCTTGGATGAGTAATACAACATCTCAATTTTAATAGCCTTTGGTCCAGTTGGCATGATTTAACCCTTTTTAGATACTTCTTGAAAAGTTTTTGGACTCGTTTCAGAGGCCTTCCCAATGGGATTATCCCACCTTGTGCTCTTTGACCCTTTGATCTCGCGGGAAAAGGAAGAAATAGCATGATTGAGTAAAAGGTTTTCAAGCAGAAGATGCTATCTAGACTTGCCAGAAAAAAAACACAACACATTGATACAACAGGAGAAGCATCTCTTCTAGAGATGTTTTGGAGAGAAGTTGGGGGGAAAATTGTTCTCCAAACTCTTTTGCATTAAGTTACAGAATTTATTGCCACAATTTATAGGGATGACCCTATGGCTTAAGCAGGAGATGGCCTTCCTTCCGTTCCCCTCCCAGCCATTCCAGGAAACCTGGTGGTTGGCCAGGGAAGGAAGCAGGAAGCTGAACAATGCAGGGATTTTTATTGTCTCTCGTACTCCAGAGCTTGTCCCGCGGTTTGTACTTCCAGTTCCCAAAAAGCAGATGTGTGGTTCAAGGAAAGGGGCGCTTTTAATGACAAGCTGAGCAACATATTTGACACCAATTTCTCCCCACCCACCACCGACAGTTGCCTTCACTGTACTAGATGCACAAGCCCAAACATACCGTCAGGACAGTATTTACTAAGCACAATAAAATTAAGAATTTTACCACGAACTGTATGGGTTATATAAGCTTTAAAAAATACAACAATATATATATATATATATTTGTATTTCAAAAAATATTTGCGCCCAAATAAATAATTTCCTTTTTTAAATATACACTTTTTTTTTAAAGTCACAGTAGCTTGGTGTTGAGTATTATTTCATCCAGTTCTTGCTCAGGATGTGACTTAATAGCACGGATGCATGAAGGCTGCCTGGGTTTCTCTGAGGGGCCCCAGTTTCTGCTGCCTCCTAAGTGCCACCGATGCAAAAGCTCTGGGACCAAACTAGAAAATCAAACATGCAGAGATGAGAGACGCTGCTTGGAAAGTGACGGTGTCAGCAGGGAGTGACAAAGGGGGTGCAGGAATTGGCAATAAGAGGAAAAGTTCGGGGGGACCCCTGGAAGGGCTGTGCTACGTCTACAGATACTACAAAGGCAGGCCAGCCAGCACCAGATCAACTCAAGCAAAGTCTACATAAAGTCGCAGCGACTACATAGCAACTCCAGATTGCTCTCAAAAGGCACAATGGCCCCGGACGGGCAGAGCCACCCAGCTACCACGCTGCACCCTCCTAAAGCAGCGTTCCTCGACCTTGGCCACTATCAGAGGTGTGGACTTCAACTCCCAGAATTCTCCAGCTGGCAATCCACACCTCTGACAATGGCCAAGGTGGAGAAACGCTGCCTGCAAACACTCTGGTGCTTAAAGAACTAGGTGACACTTTCCAGCCGACTCTTGGGGATTGCGGGCAAACAAGTTTTAGGGTTTCTTAAATATGCCCAGAAACTAAACATTTTATTTCCAAATCTACTCTCTAGTCTTGCTGAAATGTAATTCTTTGGTGCTGTGCCAGCATGGATGACATCAACGAAACTGGCAACACAACCAACCCTCCCCAAAAATTTCACTGGGAGGAACAAGAAATCGATGTGTTGGAAATCTTTTTCAAATGAGTAAACGAAGTGCGCTCCAAAAAGCTTTCTCAAGCCTGGTCTTGTGCAATCCTGACCTACTACAGAAGGAAAAACTGGCGTGTTTTCAGCATGAGCTGGAATATTTTCAAGAGCAAGCAACAAAGATGTCAATCTACAATGTCCTTAGTCATCAAAGTAAGGGCAGCTGGAGCAGCTTTCTTTCTTAGCCAAGATCTAAGCCACTGTCTAGAGCAAAAGAACGGTTGCCTTTGAAGGGCCTGGGTGCAGCTATGCTTACGCTGACCAGGTCACTAGAACTTGACCCAGCCAATTTGGGGTTCAAAACTCTCAGGTGTCATATTATGGGAAACAGTGCGGTGTTTCAAAGTCAAACAATGTAGCTGACAGACTGAGCTACTCTGCCCAAAAACCAAGCCATGTTAGGTTGTTACCCGAGGGGCACCGATATTCACATCCTTAACAGTTTTCAGAGCTGCACCCTCTTCCCCATTCAGAAGTGCAACGCAACAGCAAGTTTCCCTTTTGAATTGAATTGGGGGGGCTCAACCCATCACACCATGCAGATTTCGCCCCACCTGCAATTCAACACCCGAAACGAATCAGACTCTTTATGTTTGGTTTCTGAACACTGCCCTCTGCTTGAAAAAGGAGAGTAAAACCAACAAGGCCTCCTGCCGATTGCCCAAATAATAATTCACATTAGTTGGAATATTAACCCACATGCAAATGAGATGCACTGCAGATATCCCACCGATCTGCAAAAGACCCGACTGGAAGAACTTGCTCACAAATTCGGTATCCCAGCTTCCTCAAGTTCATGATTGCCTGCCACATTCATGCCCTCTCTGTACAAAATGCTGCTCTCTTGCCTTTTGAGAGCAACCTGGCAGCGGTGCCAGATGTCTGGAGTCTCACTTTAATCTCTTATCGCTCTCAGGATTCCCACGGGACAGTCCTGGAAGGGTGGAAGCCTGTTAAGGGCCACAGACGAATGTGGGGCGAGGAGGGACACTGGCAGGGCAGGCTCTGAAGGCCGCCTAAATTTTGTACAAAGAGCTGGGCAGGTAATCGAACCTGAGCACGGGGCTAACCCCGCAGATGGGATCCTGAATGTACTGCAATTTCAGAAGCTCGGCCAGATACTGGATCACTCTGCGGTCCTCGTTTGCCAGACCCAGCTGGACTTTCAAGAAGTTCTCCCGCCGCGCGGTAACAGAGTCCTCCGTCTCCCCCTCTCGGATGGGGAGGTGCAGGTGATGGCAGAAAGCGTAGAGGAAGGCCTTGGAGCAGAGCTGGGTGAGGAGGGTCTGGACGTGCACTTGGTAGGTGCTCCCTCGCTTGATCTGGGTGCGGTGGTCGGCCAGCCGGAGGATCAGGTGCCCTCGGTACTGCGGACAGCGGAGGGTTTTGTGGTCGGCGTCCAGCACGCTGATGTAGCGGCTGTAGCGGCTGAGAGAATGCATCATGTTGGGGCCACCTGGAGAGGTTGACCTGCAAAGAGAAGGAACAGGTGCAAATGGGGTGGCTGGAAGACAAAAGGTGCCCTTGAGGCAGAGTGAAGCATCTTAAGAGGAGGAGTCACCATTAAACCCTCTCAATGCCCACTATTGAAAAGGATCTTATAAGCATGTTTGCCCTTCTTCTTTACTGCACTTTCTCGGGAGATCTTAGCTAAAGAATAGGATACTTGATTGCCTTTTGACAGTTAACTCCCTTATCTGTGTTTACCTGAACCCCTTCCCCCTATCCCAGCCTTTGTTAGAACAGGAGGAGATCAGATCTCCACACCTGCCTCCCTTGTTTTACTGAATAGGGGTGGGACACACCAATTGGCTACACAGATAAAACAATATGATTGTGGCTGTTCAAATCTCAGCCTGGCCACGTCTACCAACCACTGGAACTTGAGGAAGTTACTGGTGATTTTTAGCAGAATTGCAAGTTCCCTTTTCTCTCCTCATGCTGTGGTTCAAGTTTACTGCTTCCCCAGACACAGGAAACCAGCAACCTTTTCTTTTCAGTCAGCTGATCAACTGGTTGGCTTGAAACAAGAAGCCTTCTGCCAGGCACACCTGTCAAGAGTTGTTGGCCAAGATGGTCAGCTACAGAAACCGAATAAACAGGTTAGCCATCTTGCTCCTGTCTAGCCTTCTTTCTCAATGTAGCTCACAGGCTCAGTTTCGATCCACCTTCCTTATGACCACCAAGGGTTGAGTAAAGAACATCCCTCAAAACATATTTGAACAGGATAGTTACGTATAAGGCTAAACATGCCAACATATAACACTCTTCTACTTCCACACCTCACTGCCCAGGCCCAGTCAACCGTCCAATACTGGCAGAGACCCATTTCAGATCTTGCCACTCAACACGGCAAGGTCAGAGGGAGGAGGGTGGGAGGGAGGAGCAGGCAATTCTCTCCTTGATGTGACATGGTGAGGAAATGTGCCAGGACAGGACATTTCTGCAAGTATCCCCCTTGGGGGAGAAGGTCCAAGGGCCCGAAATGTTACCTCTGGAGCCCCACCAGCTTCCACTTCTGAAAGTCCGTGATCTGCAAAGGCGAGGTAGCCCAGTGCTTCACGGGCTTGGCGTATGCGCCGGAATTGGGGACAAAAATGGAGAGGGCAGCAATGAGCTTCTCCACGGTGGCCTTGTCTTCTCCTAGCACCACCAGGGTCCTCCCGCTCAGCAGAGAGTAGATAGCAGGGTGGGCGAAGGGGTACTGCCGGATGAAGCGCAAGGCGCTCTGCCCAGCCTTCTTGGGCTTTTCTCCCACGAGAGCAGCGGGGGACGGGGTCCGGTCGGAGTTGGTGGACGCCGCGCTGCTCATGTAACTCGTGGAATCCGAGCATTTATCCAGGCTCATTTTTCTGGTTTCTCGGCCATCACAGAGGTAATGAGGATCGAGTTCATAGGCAAGGAGGCCTCCCAGGACCCCATCGTGGGAGCAGTCTGTGAAGTTCACCTGAAACCCTGCGTCACCTGGCCTGTATGGCTGTGGGGGGATGCTGACCACACCGTCGTCATCGCTGTGTCTGGGAGGCACATTGGCTTGACCCTCAAGGAAGTTGGGGCTCTCTTTGCCAATGCAGCAAGAAGCATCCCCCGGAGGGGCTTCAGGTGCAGGGCTGCCTTCCACCTCCTCTTCGGTGCTGTCCAGAGTTAACTCACGGCTGAACAGGAAGCCCTCCTCTTCTTCGCCACCGTAAGGATCTTCGTTAATGGCACTTGGGTAGCTTGCTTTAAAATCGTCTGGGATCAGGGCCTCTGAGGGGCAGGTACTGAGGACTTCGATGCTGTCCCCACTGATGGTCCTGCTGCTGGCGGCTTTGTCCCTCACCACGGGGGGGCTGGGGGGCGCTTGTAGCAAGCCTGACTGACTTTCGGAGTGGACAGAAGTTGTGGCCGATTTCTCCGTTCCCAAAACTTCAATGCTTTCGCCGCTGCTGACGCTCCCTTTCAGGTCGACATCTAGAAGTTCGACATTGTCATAAGGGACAGGGTGGGAGGCCTCTGGGTCTTGCCTGTCTTCAACCTCTGGATCCATCTTAATTGGCACAGACTCCACACTGGATTTGTAAGAGGCAAGATCGATGAGTATCTCAGGACTTGGTCCGCTTTCCAAACAAGCCATGTTGGGAGGGTCCAGGTTCTGCCCTGGACTGACTTCAAAGGGCTTTTCCTGCTGCTCCTCATCCAGGAGAGACACATCTTCGAAAAGAAAGCCGGCGAATGCCTGCTGCTTCAGGAGGGCTCTGCTGATGCGGTTGATCATGAGGTAGCAAACGTCGCCCCGGAACATCTTCTCGATCCGGTGCAAGTGGTCGAGGGTCTGGCTGAAGGAGTGCTCCTCGCAGAGTTCCTGCAGGGTTTTCAGCTTCTTGTCAAAGCACTTGCTGGATTTGGCCTGGATGAGCTTCGGGGTGTAGGAGGAGCCCTGGGGACAAGGCGGTGGCAACGTATCATCAACCGGTAACTCTGGCTGGGCGTCCTCTCCAGTCGGCTCGGAGGGAGGCCCGCTGGCCCACTTCCGCCGTCCAGGTGGATAGGATCGGATCTGCCGGAGCAGGTCGCGGTGCTCGATGATGGCCTTCTCCACGCTGGCCAGCTCGTTGGCCTTCTCGATGGCTCGGCTGGAGTAGCAGCCTTTCGCCAGGCTGCGCTTCTGCAGCTCGGTCTCGCGGTGCAGCACGGACCGGGTATAGTCCAGGTCGCGCAGCTTCTTCTCCAGTTCACGGGCGAAGGCCCTGCGGTTGCCGTCCTTCAGGCCCTCGGAGGCGCCCGAGAACTGGGCTGAGAGCTCCGGGAAGAGGCGCATGACCTTGCGCTCGTCGGCTGACACGTAGGCCAGGCAGAAGGGCCGCACGAATCCACGTGCCTCCAGGTCGTAGAGTGTCAGGTGGTGCACATAGGCGAAGGCACCCGCCTTGGAGTCGCCCAGCACCACCTGCGAGTCCCGGGCGAAGCGCAGGCGTGGGTAGGGGCCTCCCGGGGCTGCCCCTGCCGCGCAGGCCTGGTAGTCCACTGACATGATGCGCAACGCGAAGTAGTTCAGGTCGAAGCCCCCTGGAGCCTCCCAGGCCGGCACCGTCAGCAGCGGCTGCGGGCCCACCTGCTCCGAGAACTCGGCCACCAGCAGGAAGTCGCGCGGGAACGGCGGCGGACAGCCCCCCGAGCCGCCCCCCAAGCCGCCCCGCCGGGACCACGGGTGGGCGCCGCGGCCTGGCGCGGGCAGCAGCGGCACCGAGTACTCCTCGGGCAGGCCCGGCTCGCGCGCCGCCGCCGCCGCCTCTTCGGCCGCCGCCTCCTCCTTGGCGAAGGCCACCACGTCGGGCGCGCCGATCATCCTGACCGGGAAACGGGGATCGCGGCCTGGCTCGCCGGAATCGCCGCCGATGTCTCAGCCCCCCAGCCGCCACCGGGCGGCCATCTTGGAGTCACATGACCCGTGGGCTGGGGACCTTGGCCCCGGAAGCAGTCGCACCGAGGGCAGGGGGAGGGCCCACTGCGGTTACTGATAGGCTGACTAGATTGATTGACATTAACGGGAAGAGTTTATGGAAGAGTGGGGCGGAGCTAAGAAGAGGCCCGTCGAAAGAAGGGAACGTTGAAGCGGCCCGCCCGAAGGGCACGCTGGGTGTTATAGTTCTGACTTTCATATGAGTATAACCATAAGGATGGTTAGATGATTTTTAGATATAACTTCTCCCTCGTGTTCTCCCCAGAACAACAACCCTGAGACGTGGGCTCCGGGGCTGAGCGACGGCGAGGCTTTATTTATTGCCACCGGCTGCTTCCCCTTTCGCAAAGGGAATCCCCGAAGTTGCGCAAATCGCCGTCCTTTCACGGCAGGGCCGTAAAGCGAGCGAAACCCCGCCCCCTTCGCCTCTCCGCCAATCCGCTTTGCGGAGGGCGCTTACGACGCCGCTGGGCGCGAAATACGGCTGGGAGCTGAAGCGGGAAGGGAAAGGGAGTTCGGGGAGGGGGAGCAGGTCGAACAGCCCCCACCCCTCCAGGAGCCAGCGGAGGAGGGGACTGGCTGGGGGAGGGTCTCACAGGCTTTGGGTGGGGGGCAGCTCTGCCTTGCAGCTAAGGGGGTGCGGGGGCACCAGGGGCTTCCTCCACCCTGATCTTGGGGGAATAAAAAGTGGGGAGGGGGACATTCACATAGCAGGCAGGTGGGCGGCCAGAAGGGCCTGAGGTCAACCTGGGCCTGGTGGGTGCCTGATGGGGGTCCCATTGGGGGCCAAGTAGGGGAGAAGCTGCCTGTGCCCACCCCCCAATAGGCTGGCATTGTTGTGGTGCTCCTGAGGGAAGGGGCACCCAGAGAACATTTGGGGTCCCCCCTCCACCTCTGGGACCTGTGGAAACTTGGGGGACCCAGCCCCAAGAAGGGACCCGTTCTCTTTCGGACCGGACCACCAGCGTTCTCCTCCCTTGCCGACAGACCTTTTCCTTTGCCTGGAAAAGGAGCTGCCCAGGGCCCACGATGGGCCGGCCGGCCGGGTTTTAGGATGTTTGGCCAGGCCAGAGGATTGGCTTGGGGAATCGTGAGGTTCTCCTGCTCCTCCAACCTTCGCTTCAGGCCGGCAGCAGAGACCATGGTGCCTCGCAACCTCCAGAAGGTTCTCTGTGTGGCAGAGAAAAACGATGCAGCCCGCGGGATTGCAGACATCCTTTCGAACAGCAGGATGAGGAGGGTAGGAGAGCAGGGAAGCCGACTTTCTGGCCCTGAATGCGAGATTTCCCCTGGTCAGTGGGAAGATGCAGCGTGTTTGGGATGACCTGACGGGAGCAGATTCATTTCAAGCTGAAATCAATGTCCAACTTGCTCGTCTGGATTCCAATTTATAAAATGAGCCGAAAATCAGACTGGCAAAGGCGTGGGAAATTCAAACATCATTTCTACCATACGTTCTCAGAGAACAGCTGTTAAAGTACAGAAAATCTGTCATGATCCCAGGCATTTATTTCTGTGCAAGTTGATGGACTGGAAAACTCTTTAATTTCACATCTAGTCCGTTGGTTCCTAAATTGGGGTTAATGACCATCAGGAGAATAATTTGGGCCTGTTGTAAGAGTAATGGAGCAATTTATAATTGCTTGTTTGTGAGTTGAAGATCCAGCCTGGGACTCTAAAACAACAGCCTGAGATTTTGGGGTGGGGGGAATAATGACTTTATTTGAGACTGCAAAAAAGTAGTAAAAGGATCAAGGAGAATTTTGTCTAGTCAAATTCTATGAAGAGCCAATAGTAGCAAAGTTACATCCTATATATAAATATCATGGATTTCTGCTTGATAGCCGTAATCATCCCGAGAGATTTCTCACAGTATTTATCTGAGTATTGTATTGGTTTACTTATTTGGCTAAGCTGATTTCTTGTTGATTAGAATTGTTTGCTTTTCTTTCCAGAGGGAAGGAATGTCCAAGTACAACAAGATCTATGAATTCCAGTATCACTTGTTTAACCAGGTTTGTGTCAAACAGTCCATCATAATTCTCTCTGTACCTCTTATCGCTACATGATATAACAGTGATGTTATCAATGACTTTTACTTTATTGCTAGTTATATAAGTAAAAATCTAATGATGCAACCAAGTGGCAAAACAAGTATTCTTAATGAATTCAAACGGAAAATAAGTTAGACTGTCAAGATACGAATCCATCTTTGCAAAGCAACAAATGGCCAAGAATAATTTATTTTTCTCTGTTTTATGCAGAATGTAACTTTGATTATGACATCTGTGTCCGGACATTTGCTGGCTCATGATTTCAAGGCACCATTTCGGAAATGGTACGTACCAACAGATCAGATGATTAACTTTCTGCAATTATATAATCAGATTTTGAACAAGGTAACTATCATTACAAGCATAGATGTCTCTAGAATCTAGATAGTATTTCTTTAAATGCTTGCTGTTTCCTGCATGCCTTTCTCTGATGCTGTTCCAACAGGCATAGCTGTAACCCCCTGGTCCTTTTCGATGCAGAAATTGAGAAATTCTGCCCTGAAAACTACATGGACATTAAGGTTTGTGCTACCTGCAGCCTCCTCTTTTAATAAGAGGCAAGGTATCCTTCCTCTTTTTCTGTGGCTGCAATTTCTGATTGAGGAATGTGCCTTATGTCCAGCCACGGTTACGTAATATAAAATACCGCTGGCGGATCTCTTATTTCAGAAGAGTGGCTCTTTCTCCTCCATTGTTTCATGTTGCTCTGTCATTCTATTATTACCAACTCCAGCGCACCCTCGAGCGAGAGGTTCAGCCGTGCCAGGCCCTGGTGATCTGGACCGATTGTGATCGTGAAGGGGAGAACATTGGCTTTGAAATCATTCATGTGTGTAAAGCAGGTGTGTGTGGAGAAAGGGTGAAGGGCTGGGCATTCAACATGTGCACATCCTCGTGTGATTCTTCAGGACAGGCAGTTTGGCCAGGAAGCCATAGAGTTTTTAATCGGTTGCGTGAGATTAAGAAAGTCTTCCAAATCACGAGGCGTTTTTCCCTCTGCGGTGCTTTTGTTTTGCTTCCCCTGACTGAGTGTGCCTCGAACTTTTCTTTGGACAGTGAAGCCAAACCTCCAGGTGTTCCGAGCCCGCTTCTCGGAGATCACACCCCGGGCTATCAGGTCCGCTTGCGAGAACCTCACCCAGCCAGATCCAAATGTCAACGATGCTGTGGAGGTGAGGCAAGAGCTGGATCTCAGAATAGGTAAGAGAGAAAGCAGACTGTAGACCAGGGGTGTCCAACCTTGACAACTTTAAGACTTGTGGACTTCAACTCCCAGAATTCCTCAGCCAGC